GACAACAGGTTAACCGTGAGCCACCAATGTGCTTTTGTGGCCAAGAAGGCCAGTGGTCTCCTGGGGTGCATTAAGAAGACTGTGGCCAGCAGGTTAAGGGATGTTCTTCCTCTCCACTCTGCTTTCCACCAAACACTTTCTAACAAAAGCATTGCATTTTCATTACTGACATTTAAAAATAAAAAATAACGTATTTGAACAGAAGCTTCTATTTAGCTTTTTTAGCATATATTTTCTCAGTTTATTTTTAATGGTTGTATTCAAAAGCAAAACTGCAGCTGAGTCCTACTTCTTCCAGCTAGGAAAAAGCCTGAGTTTGTTCACCTCACTGTGGACAGCTAGTATTCAAGTGGGTTTGTTGGCTGCTGAGCCACCACAGAGACATGGTGAAGTGCTGGTGGGGATTAGCCCAGTACAGGACAACCAGCCACTGGAGTCTTTATGTGGTTGGGACTGCTGGCTGTTTGTTCAGAGCACAGCATTTATCCACACTGGTTTGAGTACACTCCTCAGTTGCTTCCCATGTTCCTGAGCAGGCCTTTGTTCAGTCACCAACAGGATTGAGGAGATCGAGGGCACTCTCAGTAAGTTTGCACAAGACATCAAGTTAGGTGGAAGTGCTGATCTGCTTGAGAGTAGGGAGGCTCTACAGAGGGATCTGGCCAGGTTGGATTGATAGGCCAAGGCTAGTGGTATGAGGTTCAGCAAGGGCAAGTGCTGGGTTCTGTGCGTTGGTCGCTACAGGCTGGGGGAAGAGTGACTGGAAAAATGCCCAGTGGAAAAGGACCTGGAGGTGCTGGCCTACAGCAAGCTGGGTATGAGCCAGTGTGTGCCCAGGCGGCCAAGAACACCAATGGCATCCTGGCTTGTCAGCAATAATGTAGCCAGCAGGACCAGGGAAGTGATAGTCCCCCTGTACTTGGCATGGATGAGACCACAGCTCAAAGCCTGGGTTCAGTTTTGGGCCACTCACTACACAAAAGACATCAAGATGCTAGAGCCTGTCCAAAGAATGGCAGTAAAGCTGGTGAAGGGTCTAGAACACAAGTCTTGTGAGGAGTGGCTGGGGCACCTGGGCTTGGAGAAAAGGAGGCTCAGGGGAGACCTTCTGGCTCTCCACAACTCCCTGAAAGGAGGTTATAGCCAGGTGGGGGTCTTTCTTTTCTGCCAAAGTACAAGTGACAAGAGAAAATGGCCTCAAGTTGTGCCAGGGAAGGTTTAGACTGGCTATTAGGAAACACTTCTTCCCTGGAAGTGTTGCTAAGCCCTGGATCAAGCTGCCCATGGCAGTGGTGGAGTCCCCATCCCTGGAGGGGGTTCCAGGACGTGTAGATGTGGTGCTGAGGGACACGGGTCAGTGGGGACCTGGCAGTGCTGGGGTAACGGTTGGACATGACGATCTTAAAGGTCTCTTCCAGCCAAAACAATTCTATAGTTCTGTGCTGGAGGAGACTGTTTTCTGTACAAGGGTTTTCTGAAGGCTGGAAACACCTGAGTATTTTGGAAGGCACCGTGTGGGCTTATGCTGGTGTTGCCATTGAACCTCTGCTGCTGGCTTCCACAAGCAGCATCCCTCAGCTGTTGCAGGATTCCTACACCTCACAGGCTCGTTTTGAGGAGCCTCTGTGCTGGCAAGATGCAGCCAAACCATCTCGTTTATGAGCTGAGTTTTTGCTCTTGACCATTCCGTAGTTATCCCTTCACAGGTTCATGTGTATTTTATTAAATCTCTGTTTGATGCTGTTTGTGGTGAGGGCCTTTGCTTCAAGCATGGCCAGGGAAGATCACTTAAAAGTAGTTCAGGTCCGTGTCAGTGGACAGCTCACAGGACTTCCTGAGGTGGGCTTTACAGCTGTTTGGTGGCTAACCCCAAATAACTATTTATTTCTGTCTTCTGCTTGCTGTCTCAAGTTCTTGTGTGATGGGTTGCTACCTAAATCTGACTAAACTGATTAGGAGTAGGCAAAGTTATGTATGTGATAGCAAGTGTGGAGACATTACATACACTAATGTAGCAGTTTAATTGACTCGGAGTGTCTTGCTGGAACAAGCTCTGTTGTCTGAAGCGCGTGACATTGTGATTGTCTGTCTATCATGGCTACTCCCAATTTTTGAGTGAAGACTTGGGAATGTGGTCAACTATGTATCACTTCAGAAAAGCTCACAATGGAGGGGTTTAAAAAGCATGGAGATGTGGTGCTGAGGGGTGTGGGTCAGTGGTGACCTGGCACTGCTGGGGTAACGGTTGGACCCGATGATCTTAAAGGTCTTTTCCAACCAAAACAATTGTACATTTCTATGATTCTGTGAAATGCAAGGCCATGGCCTCTGGAGGCTTCCAGCAGAGGATGACAAGTAGTAAGGGAAGATCCTAACACAAAGGCATTTTCTGGATATATTCTCATGCATTTAGAAAAACAAACAAACAAAACAACAAACCAAAAAAAACCCACACCCAACCAAACCACCAAAAGCAAAACAACAAACAAAACCCCACCAAAAAAAAAAAAAACCAAAAAACAAACCCCCCCAAAAAATCCACCCCAAAAAAGAAAAAAAAAAAAAATAAAGGCAGGAGGGTGAAAAGAAGTTCCCACTGCTTAGTGTTGGTGAACCTTTGTTAGGCAACTATGTCTTGCAAAACCTATAATGTAGCTTCCTCATGGTAAATTTTCTACTGGGACTGTAACTTGTGGAGTACTCAGACAAGGCTGCAGAGCCAATGGTCGTGAATGAAAGAACTAGTGACAGAGTTGATTTAAAAAAAAAAAAAATTTTCTCCACATGGCTTTGCAACATCATCACTATTACACTTTTCTGCCCCCTTTTTCTACTTTTTTTTAAAAATTTTGTTTGTTTGTTTTCTGGCAGTGTAATCATGGCTGTTGAGAGAGACTCCTCACAAGTATTATAAGTGCCATAGTGTTATGGCCACTGCCACAAAATTAAAACTAGTGGGAGGTCTTTCTCTGAAAACAATTATTTCAGTCTCTTAATGTTAGTATGGTGCTGTAACAACAGGTTTAACAAGATATTCTTCCTCTTGAGGTTTGATTCCAACCCTTTCACTTTTCAGAAGCCTCTTGTTGAGGAAATGTTTGACTTTTTTTTTTTATGGTGGTGCATAATATGCTGTAGTAGAACTTAAACTGCCCAGGGGCTTTGCTGCTGCCAAGTCTGTGGGACTAGCTGTCTTGACTTTGCAGGACTGTTTTCCCTAGGGGAAAACACAATCATCAGGTTTATTGTACAAAGACAGATCTTTAATTTGTAAATGTCAGGGCAACTTCAAGGACTCTGTTTGGCATAAAATGCTTCAAATCCTGGTTTTACGTGAGAAGACAGCTCTGATGTATGGCTGGAGTTTGCTGCAGTTTTGCTTGCTTTATTTTTTTTAACTCTCTGGGAGGAGATGTTCCTCAACACCCTTAAGTCTTTGTTAATAAGCTGCTGTGGTTGAGGTGTGTGATGTCTTTTCTTGTTGTGATGAGAATGATGTAAAAATCCTGCGGATACAAAGTCTGTGACATTCAGACGTAGCCAGATCATTTCTTGTCACTGTCTTTCAATGTCACTTGCCTGCGACATCTGTAATAATGAGTTGGTTCAGTCAGAGGGGATTTATTTGCTCTGGCAGTCAGATATCTGAACCTGAGTTAGTCTCAACTCTGTCTGTAGCAAGTAAAGGGGAGAAAAATGTAAAAGTGGTTCTAGGTTGTAGGCACATTGCATTCCATGTGCACCTACTGTTTTGCCTTGACTGGACATCAGAGCTATTCAGTTTGGCATTCATTTAGAGTTATATTAGAGGGAGCTACCTTTAAAGTTAGCACAAATAAAGAAGCTTGTGTTCTTAATCTTCTGAAATGTCCTTAAAATCTAGATCGGTTATACTCAACTTGAGATCTATAACCTACAGATCTATGCCATAAGCATCACCATTCCACTGAGCTGTATGGAGTGATATATTTCTGAAGGGTTTGCAGAGGCTGGAACTTGAGGTTAACAATTATATTGGCAGTAGAAGGAGCATAGAAATACTGTTCTCCTTATGTAATCAAGGTGTTAAAAGTAAAATGGGATGAATTTGTCTGAATTCCATTAGGACTACTTCTATCCAGTCTCACTATAGCTCTCCTGTGAACCATGTTTGCAGTGGTAGTAATCTTGGTGTGGATGGATAAAGACAGATTGATCCATATTTCCCCAGTATTTCTTCGTGCCAGGTTATGTGATGTTCTCTAACATTAGAGATCATTACATACAGTGTTTTGTGATAAAGGCATCTCTTGTGATCCCAAAATATCTTGCTGCTGCAGTCCCAGCAACATTGTGTTGGGTTTTGAGAAAGTTCTTCCATTAAACAGATTGGGACTGTGTGCTCTGCTACTGGACCAAACTGTTTGGCTACTGAAATGCCTGCTGGTCCAGAATAACATTCATTAAGCCAGGCAGCAAATGACAGTAGGCTTAAATGTGACCTTTGACTGATGTTCGTAGGTGTTCTTTGTGGGCCTTCTTAGGTCTTTAGCCCAGCCTACTCTAAAGACAGATACAGAATGTTATCAGCTTGTTGATAGAGCAGTGTACATCTGACAGCTGTGTAGTGGTTACATCCAGTTGAGCTGCTTAAAGTCCTGGTTGTCACTCAGTGCTGGAAGCAGGAATAGATACCAGGATTCCTACTCCCCTAGGTCCTACCACAGTCTGCAAAACATTCGTTGATAAAATATCTGTACATTTCAGTCTGCATCTACTGACCTGTATAAATGGGATATTATTCACCTGCTGTATCTGTATAGCTCATGATTCTGCAAAGTCAAATGTTCTGCTTGTAGTCTTTGAAGCAACTGCATTTAACTTGTGATTTAAAAAAATGCGATTCTTGCTGTGAGGGTGTTGAGTAGGAGGAGCTGCAGCCAGAGAAACAGTGTCCAGCTGTGGTTTGGTTCACAGCAAAATTCTGATGAGTTAATGCAACTACTTTTGTTGTCCCATCACAGATTAACTCTGAAGAGCATGTTGATACAGCTGATCAGGAGACAGTCTCTTGGGATCGCACTATTCCTGAAGACATAAAACAAAAAATACAGCCCAAAGAGGTTCCAGCAGAAAGTGTTACTGTCTGGATCGATCCGTTAGATGCTACACAAGAATACACAGGTAGCTGATTCTTGTTGACAAATCATGTGTGTAATTCTGATGTCTGCCTTTTATACTGGAGTCAAAATAGTAAGTATTTAAAATGACATCTCCTGTTAAAAGTGTGTTATGTCAAAGCTAGTTTGATTTAATTAGCAAATTTAATCATTAAATTGTCATATGTTGTTATACTTCTGTATATTCCAACTCTGAAGTTATTTTAGTACTCCTTGCAACTAAGTAATTGCTAAATTAAATGGTAAGTGGCCGTTTTGGATTCTGCTAGAATTACACTTTATTTTAGTTATTACTGTGACAACACTAAATACCTCAGAATATTCTTTGTTTACTTAAAGGGAATATACAGAATATACTTTGTTTATTTACTAAGTAAATATTCCACTTAACTTGATATTAAAAAGCCTTATTTTTTAAAAAAGCACACATAATTCAATCTTCCTCTTTTTAAAATGTTTTAAGATGTTACTTAATAGATACTGACTTGAATGAATTTTTAATACATGTAAATCTTTTTATAATAAAAAAAAAATTGTATTCTGTGAGTCTGTAAGCAGTTCAAGGCAATCCAGCTAAAATTCTTGCCGATAAGTACTACAGAATAAACAGAAAAATGGATAGTTTTTTGCAAGTGCCCCGTTGATATAATCACCATTTCTGGTAAATGTTCTTGGGTATTTGAATTAGTGGCTTTGAACCAATAGAGGAGAGGAGGTGAGGCAGAGAAGGGAGAATACAGGGACACAGATTTCCATAAAAATACTTACTGCATAAGGCAGAACTGTTGGAATTAGATCTGGTAGGACTGCAGGTTACATCTACTGAATAGAAAAAAATTGTGGAGAAACTGCAAAGTCTTCGGAATGGTTTGAAAACTGCAAGGTTATTTGCAGCTACACTAAAGTTACATAATTGTAAGCAGCAGGATGTAGGCTAGTCTTTGAAGAACAACATTTGTGTAATGTCAGGTCTGCTTCCTTTTTGTGTTCTTTCTGTGAAGTTTCCTCCCTTTCTCGTTTTGCCCACAGAGAATCTTCGACAGTATGTCACGACAATGGTTTGTGTGGCTGTAAATGGTAAACCAGTAATAGGAGTAATCCACAAGCCCTTCTCAGCATATACAGGTACCTCTATGCCTTCACATATTTCCAGCATCTTCACTCATAGTGTTAAGTAAAATTTGACGTTTGAGAGGACATCTGAAGGTACAAATGAGAAAATAGTACTTGGGGCAAAAAAGCGTGGCTGCTGACCTCAGCCTTAGAGCTGCAGCTGTGTTCTGTGCTAGAAAACCACAGAGGAAAATGCTGCCCTTGTTTAACATAAAAATGATGCATTTAAAACAAACTAACTGGTAATATGTTTAAGAATTAAGATCCCTTCAATCAGAGTGCCTATAGCAAACAAACGAAAGTGAAGCCTACTCATACTAACCAGTCTTATGTGTGCTGTTAGTCTTTAGCAGAGGAGTGCTGTGCTCGTCAGAACAGCAAGATTTTGAGTCTGTGATATTATACTCAGGAGCTGGTGATATTATACTCAGGAGCTGTTGTATATGCAGTGTGGATAAAAAGATTGATTAAAGATCTTAATTGCAACTGTTTGTATGTAACAGGCACGACTGCCTGGCATAGCCATATTGACTATTTGACATATTTTTAATGCTAGGACTATGAACTTTATTCTTTAGTATTAATGATGTGTCATTGAGCATGAGTGCAGGTTTGGCAATGTGTATGTGCTTCTGAAAGCTTCAAAGCAGTTTTTCGTATTAGTGTCTAACCATATAGTTGAAACAAGAATTCCTGTTATTATCTTCCCTTAGGCAATACTGACCTCTAGAGTTGTGAAGTTATGCAGAAACTAAGTCTGAATAAATGTATTTTTAATTTTTTTTTTTTCCCCCACTGAAGGCTTAGTATTTTATGCTAAATATTTTATTGTCTTTAAATATGAACGTAATTTCCAGTCATTTAAGTATGTATTATATTCCAATATGATTTATACTTAAAGCATATTACTTACATATACTTAGGGGTTTTGGAATGTATTTTTATAAGTATCAGCATCTATCTGAAGAAATGAGGTTTTTAACACTGTGATTTTGAGAACTTATCTCTTTTAATAATCATAGAATGACTTGTGTTGGAAGGAATTTTAAAGATCATCTAGTTTTGTGATGGCTGCCATAGGCAAGGACACTTCCCACTAAACCAGGTTGCACAAAGCACCATCCAAGCTGGCCTTGAACATTTGCAGGGAAAAGGCATCCAGAACCTCTCTGGGCCACTTGTTCCAGTGTCTCAGCACTGTTATAGTGAAGAATTTCTTCCTTACATCTAATCTAAATCTACCCTCTTCCCGTTTAAAGCAAATTAACCCTTGTCTTGTAGAGTAATAGTGAAGTGTGTAATGTTCAGACATGGCATCAGAAGAGATGCAATGAATTCTGTCATTTTATGTGAAGAGTATTAATTTCCCAAGCTGGAAATACAAATATATTGTAAGATTGTTCCAAATCCTACCACACAAATACAAAGCAGTAGAGGGCAGTTGGCATTGTTGTTACACATAACTCAGTCTGTTGCCATACAATCTGGCCCTCCACTGAGGTGAAATTGCTGGTTAGTCTGCTAAGTAAATGTCTAATGAATGGTTACAGGATTCCACCTGCTAAGCTTGGCTTTGAACCTCGTGATGAAACGAGTAGGAGGTTGTGTGTTCTAAATCCAATCCTCTGAAACACACCATCGAACGTTTTCTCTTAGTATTACTGGTTTTTGGAAGTATCACACAAGAATAGTTGGGCATGGGATAATGCCATAAGCACAAAAGGGGGGTAGATGTTTCTCTTTTCTTGTGCTTGTGTGCACATGTGGGTATGCACCCCTTCCTTCTGTCAGCCCAAACTTTCACACTCAGGAGGGAAATGAAGTCAGAGGCTTCAATTCCATTTTCTCAGATAAGTATCCTTTTCTCTTTACCAGAGATGGCCTTGTATAAATCTGAGCAGAATTTTTGTTTCTCTCGTAGCCTGGGCAATGGTGGATGGTGGGTCAAACGTCAAAGCTCGTTCCTCCTACAATGAGAAAACTCCAAGGATTATTGTATCCCGCTCCCATGCAGGAAAAGTTGAGCAGGTTGCACGGCAGACATTTGGAAATAAGACTGTGATAATTCCCGCTGGTGGAGCAGGTTTGGTTCCTTAACATCCTACCCACTTTATTGCTTCTGAATGATTTAACAGGATAGATGTTATTAGACAAAAGGATGTAACTGTGGCATCTCCTCTTTTTCCTCTTACCTTTTGTTCCTCACATCCTTAAAAGCAAGCACTTGACAATAGAAATCTACACACAAACTTAGCTCAGGCTTGTTCAGGCTATTGACAAGTTTGTGTGTTAGTGAATCTGAGCCTGGCCCAGCCGTGTTAGTGGCCCTTCCATTGAACACACTGATGTGAGTTCTCTGAATGCCTCAGTGGAGGAAAAAGGGTTGTGTGACCCAGTACAGAATCGAGGAAGAGAATCTGTTGGTTGTTAATTAACTAGTAGTACATTAAACAATGTTTTAAATAAAAAAAAAAAAAGGCCAATGTTAAAGCTTGCTACAATTTCTTGCATTTCTGTCAAAAGAGAGCACTGGTGTCACTGATGTCCATTTGTTTTTTCTGCCTCATACTCAGACCAAAGAGGTTTTAGCTTACTGTTTGTAACCTTACATAATGTCCTTGTGCATGTTAACTGGCAGAATGCAAATACATGAGGCACTAAAGTGAAATAATAGCTGTTTTAAAGTCTCAGAATCGCTATGCAAAATTTTAATGTTACAGAAATTTATCTTTCTGTGTCTTTAGTGGCAATCTAGAGCTTCCTTACAGATAGTTTAGTCAAGAAGATTTTGCATAGGTTCTTGACAATGAATCTAAATTATTTTTTTTTTAGTGATAAAGGAAGTGTAAATGATTATAGTAGATTTTCTCCAGGGCTTGACTGTTTAAGAAGACAGAAAAGAATGGTTTAATGAAACAAGAATATTGGTTAACAACTGAAAAATGGGGAAAAAAATCCATAAAAGAAAGAATACTCTTTTGAATGATAACTTTGTACTGCATAATGTATGATAAAAGGGAATGCCCTGGGCTGAGTTACTCTGTTAAATAGTGGCATATGCATCTTCCTTCTACTGTAATAAAAAGCAAGGTAAAAAAAGGTATACTTTAGCATAATATAGAGACTGAGAAATCAGTGAGTGAACATACAAGCAAAACGATATTTGAGGTTATAGTCTTGTTCTTTTAGCATGTCTCTAGGTGAGTCTTTGTAACATACTGGTAAATGTTGTCTAATACCCAAGGTTTTAATTGGGGTGCAGTGGAAAAATCTTAGGGAGGAGTTTCCTTTTTCAAATTTTCTCTACATTCATTTCTCAGAGGACAAAGTTTATTGGTGCCTCTGCCATTATACTGGGTGGCATGATATAACTGATGGCATCACTTTCCTAAATCTTGCATGTACAAATTCACACTTACTAGTAGATTTATCCTTTGTGATGAACAGGAAAACTTGGTTTAAATTTTTTTTTTTTTTTACTTCTGCCTGTTTGTTCTAGGTTATAAAGTGTTGGCTCTCCTTGACGTGGCTGAAGAGAATCAAGAAGAAGCTGACGTGTATATACATGTAACCTACATTAAGAAGTGGGACATATGTGCTGGAAATGCAGTGTTGAGAGCATTGGGTGGTCATATGACTACCCTGACTGGTGAAGAAATTAGTTACACTGGCTCAGATGGCAATGAGGGTGGACTTATAGCCAGTATCAACATGAACCATAAAGCACTAATTGAAAAACTTCCAGATCTGGAAAAAAGATCACACAAACTTGACTGATGGAGAAGTACAGGTCATGCTTTTGTAGCCTCCAGAAGCTCTGCCTGAAGAAGCAGGTGTGAAAACCTGGTGGGAAAGATGCACGGCAAAGCAGTTTGGTGTGGGTTTGGGGAATATACTGTGCATTGGGTTTCTTCAGTGGTGGGATTTTAAAAAAGGAATAAAATAATAATAATCACAAGTAGGAAGGTGACTGATGGCCTCACACCTCACTTTCCATGTTTTATTTTTTTCAGACTGTTCTTGTGCAGTTCTCACACTCAAGATATGCATACAACACATATTTGTGATCATAGGTGAACTAAAGAAAAAATCCAAATTGAGTCATAAAATAACCTAAGTTCTCACAGGAACTTCTTAGAACCTTTTACATGCTGTTACTGTAGTTGTAGCAACTCCATAATGAATTAGGTAGGAAAAAAGGTTGATTTGTGTAGGCATCTGATAAATCTAAAAAATTCAACAAGAAACATGACCCTGTGTTCTGTATCCCCTGAACAGAAAGCACAAGAAGATTGACACAAATTAATATACAGCAACAGTTTCTCTTTGACAGTGTGCCATTCCTTTTGCTTTTTAAAGAGAAAAAAAGACATGTTCTGTACTATTTTGACTTTTTTCCTGAAGATGTAAACCAGTTTAATTCAGTTGGGTTGTGAATATCAGTGTTTTATGAGTCAGTGTAATTATTTCCATATACCTTTTTTAAAGAAGGCAACATTCTATTTCCTTGTACAGTTTCTGACTGTTACTTCTTGTCCTTGATTTCTGCGTACAGTGTTGAAGATGCATGCTGGATTTTTCTCTGCTGTAGGACTTGTTCATCATTTAGTGTTTGTGCCTATAGAAGCAATCTCTTCCTGCTGTACCTGGGGTTTTGTTGGTTGATTGGTTGCTTTTTTTCCCATTGGAAAGAGTCACACGGAATGAGTTTAACAGAAATAGTAACTTCATTGGTTGTTTCCGTTTACAACGTGAAGATCTAAGCCAGCAATTTTTCTACAACCTCAGAAATAACTTTCTGTCTTCTTAGGTTAAGGCATGCGCTTTTCTGCAGAAAGTTCTTGAGCCATCCCAGACATCTTGCAGTTACTTAGTTTGTGTAACTTAGAGACCATTTGAACTTGAATCTGTTTAAGCTTCTCTGAAGAATATGTGGGGCTTGAAGTACAGCAGGGTCTGCAAAACTTTACCAAAAAGTGTTCTGCGTCAGTCCAGTACAGGCAGAAACAGAATCCATTTGATATCAAGTGACAACTGGTTGCACCTCTAGAATATGTGGTCTTCTATCGCTAAAAATGTAACCCTCTGGATTGTTCTCTGCACTCTGAAGGATTTCAGATGGTTAAAATGTACCTGTGATTTGAATTGTCAGGAGAGAAATTTCCCTTTTAAGAAAGCTAAAATTTTTAGTTATTACAGGGGTTTTCTGGTCAAAGTTTATTCAGCATAAGATTAGTCTGTTTAAACCAAATTTGCTACTTTCATTTTAACTGCTTTCTTTGTACTGCTGTTCTGATTGAGAAGTGTTTGTTCTTATAGCACTAGTGGAGCATGTCTAGATACCTCTTTTAATCCTAGCCAATGTTCACATTTCTGAAAGACCTCCTCAGATGTTGCATTACTACAGATACAGACTTTTATTTTGCAAACTTACTGGCAGAATAGGCTAAAGTTTAGACCTTCTAGCCTTCTGCTACAGGTAGTTGGTTTTCTTAGAGAACTGTTTTTCCAAACTTGATACTGTTGCTGCTGTTTGCAAATAGCTTTTACGCATGTAGATAATACACAAAGCAGCTTAACTTCCAGTTTTTCAATTTAATAAACTACTATATGCTATGACAAATAAGTGAATAGGCCCTTTTTAAAAGACTCTGATTTATTTTGAAAAGGTTGCTGAGCTTCCAAACCTCAGCAAAGGGGTAAAAATCAAGATATTTATCAAGGCTTTAGTAGTCTTTTGCAAGAAGATTGCAGCTTCTCTTTCCTTCGGGATGATTTAAATGACTTAAAGCCTAATTAAAAAAGCAGCTCTTCTGTTTATCAGTTAAAGCACACAGATTAAAATCTAAATTTGAGAAATAGCCATAGTTAACCTAGTATAAAAAACTAATTGTGTCACAGAGGTTGAATGCATAATATTAAATAGGTAATTAAGGTAGTCTGTGGCAGGTTGTGGTTTGTAGATTCAGGTTGAAATCACTTGTAAACTTACTCTGTGAAAATGTGACTGCTTTTGTTTTGGGTATGATTCTGTCAGTTCCTTACATAAGGTGTGATCAGACTTAGTTGAAGGTATATAGCAGTACACAGAAGAATTTGCCTGAATTATTTTTCATTAGGAAGGTAAGGTATGAGGAGGAGCTTCAGCCCTCCTTCTTCCCTGTTGCTGGCTGAAATGTCTGGTCTTGTATTAGGAAGACATAAGTGCTTAGATTCGTTTATATCCTGAATTGTTTTGTTGCAGTGGATCAGAGTGTTCAGCACCTGTCACAGCGGACCCTTGTTGGCCCAATCTCACTTCTTGTGGACATAGAAGAGGTGAGAGTGAGGTGCCCTGTTCATCACTGCAGGTGTAGCCTGAGCTCACACAGCCTTCCCACAGCTAAGGTCGTGCTTGGGGTCTCCCAGTCTAGTTTAAAAGATTTGATGTGAGAATAGGTAAGCACACAGTGCATATCAGTCTCTGATGTCATTTGACAGTAAATGCAACTGAAGTTCAAGTGCTCAAAAGTGCTTGCTTAGTGCAGCCGTGCCAGTGCGCATCGGCACGTGCTTGTCTAGTGTTAAAGCTGAGTATATCCCACTTCTCTGGCTGTTTACTCTCCATTCTAAAACGTTCTGCTGTTCTGGGTTCAATGTTTGAGTGGTCTCAGCTGTGTGGATGGGGCTTGAGCTTGTGCCCGGAGCGGTGGGAAGTCGCACGGTGGGCAGGTCTCACTGCTGGGCTGCAGCGCTGTGCTTTACATTCTAGCCTGTTCTGCCTAAAACCACCAAGCCATTTTTACAGGTGCTACTTAAAACAATTGCATTGAGTAGGCTGTTCTGATTAAGGTAATTGCAAGTGAAATTTTTCTAAAGCTGTCGAGATTTTCTCATTTTTATTCTACTAAGAGTGGATGGTAGCATAGATGATACCTCATACTGTACCAAGAGTCCTAACTTCCATTCCTTGGATGAATGTTTTCTAAACAAATGGACACAGAAGTAAAAAAGGTTGACTATTGTACTTAACTGGTTTCGAGTTTAACCTATTTGCCAGACTTTTACAGGTGACTTTATATAAAGAGCTGTTTGTTCTGATTTACACGGCATGTAATAATAATTAAAATATTTAGTAGAGATGACTTTCTAGGATGGTGAATTAACCACATAGGTGAAACTGCAAAGTCATGTAGTGATGTAGTTTATTTTCTACTTGGCTTCAAGACTGTGGTAACCCTGAGTACTCAAAGACTGCTTGACTTAGGAACCACACCTTCTGCACAGCAGCTCCTCTACACTTGCTGAGAGTGTCTTACCATCCCACAAGCAGGTTGTGCCACTTGAAGCCTTATATTCATGGTTTTTGGATGTCACACCAGCTCTTTCAGCTCTTCTGAGAGAGAAGTCAGCCAGTTTCCTTCCAAGGCTCCCTCTGGAGCCAGCAATTAGCAGCCACTTCTCCTGCTTTGTTGTTCCTCATGTTTCTGTTCCTCCCTGATCCTTTCTACTTTCTTAGTCCTTGTGGACAAGAAAAATGAGAGACCAGAGCAGAACAAGAAAGCCACAGCAGCGAACTATCCAATTTATCCTCAGGCTGTTAAAGTTTGGGACTAAGGTACTCATCCTACCAGAACTGTGACACATCCCAACAAAATAAAGGCATCTTGGAGAGGTTCACGTGATTGGTAGCACAGGACATGCAGAAAAGATGCAAATAGACTAAGGAGAAGTTAAACTGTCTGAAAAAGGAGAAGAAAACAGCTTTTCAGTCTAATGTTACAAGCATTCAGCATTTCTGTTCCTCTGGGTGCGGAGCTTCCTTGCTTATGAAAGAGGCTCCATTGGCCCTCATGAAAGGCTTGATTTTGCTGAAGTCAGTAGCAGCATTCCCACTGAGTTCAGTGTGAGCAGCAGCAAGCCAGATAAAACACGAACAGTAAATTAAGCTAAGTTCTGAAGAGCTCAGCTTCTGCCAGTGGAGCAAACAACCTGGGTTATGTTGAACTCACCTCTGGAAGCTTCGGTCTGTGTTACCAGAGGACTTGAAAATACCATACCAGTGTCTTGAGGTTCTAAGTCTTTCAGGTTTCTTTTATGGTCTACAGCTGATAGAGCCCACTTTCAGATAATACTGTTTTTAACCCCCAGTGTTCCTTATTTGTAATTTACTTTTTTTTTTTTCTTCCTGAAGGACCAGCAGCACTGGCATTTTTCCTGCTGTCCCACCAAATTGTATTAGCATTTTCCAGTCGTGTGCCAAATTGAAATAACTCTATAAATAAACTCGCTGAAAATACTGGTCTGTGGGGTGTTTTCCTGTACCTTGTCTTTCTGTTGGATATTTGTGTACCAGATTTTTCTTTTTCTTTTTCTAGTGCTGCATGTAAGGCTGCTTCATCTATGCTGTGTCCACCATCTTGTGTACAGGATATTTTGCCTGAGGGACTATCATTATTGACAGGTCAATTGACAGCCAAGTTTGTGATAAATATAGTTTAACATCACTGTTTTTGCTTTTGTGTGTGTGGTTTATTGTGAAAGGTGGTGAATCTGTGTGGTTGGAAATGAGTCCTCAGAAATCCCCCACATAGTATTGTTCCTTGGATCTGAAGTTTTCCTTCCAAAATCATCTTCAAGACTCTTTCTAATTACGTTACTTCATTCTGCTTGAGTCTGGTTTCCATGAGAACAGTAGTAGTAGAGCAGTAACTGTATCATAACTAACCCTTTTTCTAATGCTATCTTTGTAAATGACACTATGAAATAAGTTGGAAGGCACTCTAACAACCCTCATCATGATGTTATTTTGGGATGTTCTGTGTGCATCTTCAAATATAGTTGTTGTCAACCTTACCAATATGGGCAAGACTGGATGTACAAGGAAGCTGGGCTCTGTGCCAGCATGGTCCGGTCAGTATTCACACAAAGTATGTTTTAGTGTGTCTGAAGTTGTGGTTTGGCACTGACAGTGTTTGGAGGTGTTTAGTAGTATGTACAGACTC